ATACTTTCCTGGAAAAGTGCTGAAGAGGGTAAATGTACCCTGTTTGTAAGGTTCTCTTTTTGAGATTATGGGGGCCATGTTGCCTAATGATTGAGGTCTGCAAATCACAATCATAAGGCACATTTATGCAGTTACTCCTGTTAACACAAACAGGATGCGTGCACATTACACTCAGGTGAGAGTATAATCCCCCTCTACCAAGAACATGCTCTTGCTGATTCGTGGGTCATACTCCGTATGCTCAGGAGTATACTCATGTTAACACGAGTAGCTGGCTCAAACGCACCCAAAAGGTCAGAGTTTGAAATGCAACATCCAGTTACAACAAGTTGCTTTACCACTACATGTACATGTACTTGCCTTTCTGCACCTGGGGTACCTGTGAGAGCACAGAGGATTACTACATTTATTTTTCTGAAAAGGCTGCATTGGAGCTGTATTCTGCCCTGGAAGCTGAGATGGCTTTATGGGCTTGATTAGCAGGGGCAATATGGTGTGAGAGTCTGTCAGGACTAAAATGTATCATTTTAAACTGCCAAACTACAGGTATTGTTACTGATTCTGTCATCAGTGAAATAATCAACCAAGTTTCCTTCTCAGGATAAGTGTAGCTATAATGCTTTGCCATTACATGTACTACAGGGTGCTTCCTGAATACAGTGCCTCGATTCAGCTACACAATTGTCACTGAATTTATGCACAGAGCAAAGCCATTTCTTTATAAGCTCATCATGGAATGCAAATCTTTTTCTACCTCTGATAGATGGAGTGTAGCAACCACTGCTGATTGGTCATACTTCCATTGTACAAAGGGAAAATCACATAGCTTCCTGACCACAGAGCTTGCACCATCTGCACCTACATGTACATTAAATTAAGCAAGGTAGAAGAAATAATAAATGGAAATGCTACACAAAAGAAACATATTATGAGACCTGCAGCTTACTCACGAAACGTGGTGTAACTTTGAACCATGCATAAGCACAAATTTATGCTGTAGCTGCGCAACATGCTTACATTCAATTTCCTTAATAGTTGTGTTGATGCGCCATGTTTTAATAATATTACATTTCTTGGACAAGGACAATAATGGCTTTTATGCCAGTTGTTCTTTTACAATAAAACAGCAGCCAGCTGTCATTGAATCACATCCGCCCCCCATTTTGAAAAAGTTTTTGTCTTTTCTTCGTCGGAACTGGTAAAAAAGTGTTGCAGTTTTCTCACAGCCAAACAAGTTTATTATTACCTCTGGAACAAAGTTGTTAGTTTTTCGTATAATCCTTAATAAGTTCAGCAATGATGAAGCTTAACCGGACCCGATAAGCAAGTCAAATCATTCATTTTCGCTTTGTTTGGCACAGCTTACACCACCTGAAATGACTGCGTAAGTTATGCCATAATTTGCTGCGTAAGTCATATACAGTGTATAAGTTTCGTGAAATTGATCTTAAATTTGTTGTGCAACTTATGCAATGAAATGTGGTGTAAATGGAGTTATGCCACTGCGTAAGGTTTCGTGAAATTGGCTGCCACACACGATACCAAACAGCAGGAAGCATGTTCACCATTACAGTGTTTCGTACACATGCACACAAGGGTCAGTGGCACATTGCAGGGACCAATATGTGTAGGATGTCCAACATCTTCGACAAATGGCATGACGACAGTGACAGGAGAATATTGGGATGGCTGCTTCAGGGTGTCATTTCACAAGAGAGAAAAAAATTGTGCTTCTTAGAAGAGGCAGTTCAGTTTGTCAAATCCACACATTCATGAATAATGTGCATCTCACAAGATGCAGCACATCAAAGAATGAAATTAAAATTGGACACAGAAAAACCTCTGACCATTTAACTAATCTGCTTGAATTAAGTGGATTGGATGTTACCAAACTGTGTGAAAATGAAGACAAAACTGCTTGCTCACAGGCTCTGTTCAGAGTTTATAACGCGTACATGCATGTAGGTACATCTATACATGTGGTGTACTATAAGTACTCAAAGAATTTGACACTCTTCACAACAATTCATGTGATCTTGATATATTGATTATATATATATTGTAGACACACAGGTGCACTTTTGTGACCTCTGTCACACATCTACTGTCCTTCAACAAAAAATAACTGCCATTTTATCACAACACTTCCAAATTGATCCATACTTAGACACTGTATATCGTAAATACTTTATTAGCAGTGCAGTCCACTCCTACAAATCTGAGTCATGTTTTTATTTCAGGAATACATCGTAGTCATTTTCACCATGCCATTTCAGTTTGAAATGTAACTACAGTTCTTGAACATGTAGGTAGGCATGACTCAGTGGCATTCATATATAGGTGGAGGCACATGTATGGTTAAAGCATGTGCCGTTGTTGTGACCCTCCCACTGACAATTTGGAAAAAACAAAAGGGGCTTTGTGTTGCTTGAATCTATAACCACACCAACTAATGAGGCCCTCCCCTCTTCCCAGTTACCCTTGTACATGTAAATTGATACACTTTACTTGTGTTGCATGCAATGGCATAACATACATGTACATTAGTATATCTGTTATATACACATACATGTATGTGCGCATGATTGAGAGCAGAACTTTCACTGGCCCATGCGTCATCACATGCCAGTCGCTACTTTCGCTGTCTAGTAAGTCAAACATGCTAACATACCAAACTGTTCCCAAAGAACAGTTCAGTGGAAGTGTCACAAGGGCAAGGTACATGCATGCTCAAACATCACTACATTCTACATGCTCTAATACATTCTAAGAATGAACAGATGGCGGCACACGTACATGCTGCCTGTCCTAAAAACTGAATTGAAACTGAATATGTCTGAAGTAAGGTAAAATGGCTATTTCAGGTGCATAGTTCCTCAGGTGAAACTGAGGCAACTAGATGTCAACTTCCAATGAGCTAGTTCCGTATTCCAACAGTGAACGCCCAGTATGAGGCTATTGGGTAACAGCTAAGCACACATGCAATAGTCTGTCCTATCAGCACAGCATACACTGACTCATGTGCACTTTTTGTTCTCAAAAGACCAAGGCTTTTTGAAGTACCGAACTTGGGGGAGCCATAAATCAACTGTTCATCCTCAAATCATGTTATACAAATAATGACTGGAGACCCCTTCTTTTGCATCATTGCTAGAAATATTAAGTGCAGTGCAACAAAAGAAGACTAAGAAACACCCATGTCAGCAATTCATCATTTGTAAATACGAGTCACTTCACTGGTGTACATGGTGTTTGGACATACCAATCAGAATGCGCGTCTTCATGACTTGGCCACTTGCTAGTTCGACTTGCACCCAGCTGTCTTCATTTGACACACTCTGGTCTGGCACCTGGAAAATAATTTGAAAATAATGCAAATTCCTCTGATGAAACTTGATGTGCAGTAAGTTGGCCTGCATTTTCTGTCAAGTGAGACCTTAAACTGACATACAGACAACTGCAACAGTCCTTTGATGTTAGTTTGCTTTGGGAGTTTTGTCTAAGACTCATGCTTCACATCATTTTACAGATGTTTCTTACTTATTCATGACAGGTACTGATGCATGTAACAATTTCAGCGATTTTAAGCTCACAAGTCTAAGTAAAAAACAACCTGAATGACATCTTTAGGACATACTCTCCATGTCAGACTTGCTTCAGAAGGATAATTTTCAAGTGAGATACATGTAACTTTCTCAGGTAGTAAACATGCAACGAGAAGCCTTTTCATGAATGCTACTTCTTACATTATTTTTCTAACTAAAATGTCTTTTTTTTGCAGGAAGTGTAAAATTTAAATTTTCAGCAGCAGTATGGATTTTGGTTAAGGTTGTCCATACGTCATCCTAGTACCTCAGGGCACTATTGTTTGAGTGTAGATTTTAAGTACATACGGTACATGTAGCCTACACTTTAAGGATTTCCTGCACAACCTGTGAACTTTAAATCTACATGTAATTCTACAAAAACATCTTTGCTAAAGGTTCGCTTGCTGATGGACTACATATACAGCACAGCACAAGTCACACAAAATCCCAGGTTTTAAGTGTTTTGCACACATACCTCTGTGTACAGTGTATGGGTATGCATACTAACACACACTGTACTTTAAGTCCAATTCTGTTTCAAAATTGAACTGATATGCTCAGATAGCAGAACATTTATTGCTCACATGAAAGTTGTCCCATAAGATCCCCAACAAGACCCATGTGCATACCTTAATCTCTCTGACAGAGTTATTGTACTGAATCTTAACTCTATTTCCAAGCTGCTCTAGTTGTCTGTTCAGTGCATCCACAGTTACATCATTCTCTACAATGAAGGCAAGGTCTGGACTCATCTCCTGGTTGTTTCTGAATGAGATAGAAGCATCTGAGCAGGCATCCCACACCTGCATGCTACGCACAGGTTGTACTCTATGGCTGACCATGCGAGACCAGGCTCCAATACCTGATAGAAACATTTAAAATCAGAACTGTACAATGGTCAAGCTGAGTGACATATACGTAAACATGTAACAACTGTAATATACATGTACATGTATTCATTACCGAGTATATGTCATATGTAATTGACAGTGTATGGGAAAACCTAGATGTACATGTCCATGTAAGTTTTGAACCATTGACAAGCAATACTCATAAACTATCAGCTGATTGAATATCCTTAGATTTGCTCCTTGACTTCCAACCATGGACCAGAAATGATTATGAATTACACTGTTACAAGTAGTTGTACCCTGCAAAACCTCTGTAAAGGCTTCAAACCATAAAGTACATGTACCAGTAAGGATCACACTATTAATTGTACACATGTCCATGTGCATGTACTGTGCATGTATACCATGTACATGTAATACATGTACATGTATGGGGTCGTCAGTCATTTTCATGAGAGAACAAACCATGTGCTGGAGAAGGGAGCTTTGTAAACCTCAAAAAGAGTAATAAATGATACGAACCGGTAAGGGAATCATTTTGTTTTCTTTTCCAGTTTGTTGGGGGGCGTAGGTTCCAGAAAACTCTTTGCATTACAAGTATGAACATGATAACAACTAGGAATGAATCCTTCATGTAAGCGCCAACGAAGATTGAAACAAGAATTTTTTTTCCCTATTAAGGACTATTTCAGTAAAATTGAAAGTTTCTTACTTGAGAGCAGGTCCACAGAACTCTGACTAAGAGCGCATACTCTGTTGCTATATTGATTACCAGACAAGTCTTCAGGTAATGCCTTTGGTTTGTCACCACCCTCAACCATCAATATCTTGTATGGATCAAGTGAAGCTTCAAGTCCTGTAGAGCAAAACAACTTTGCAAATTGCATTTTTATATAAAACTCCTTTAACCCTTGCCTCCAGGGTTTCTGGAATTGGGCATCTTGGGTTTGTATATGTACGCATAGCTGTGGTGACAGATATCAGACAAAAGAGCTAGGCCTTGTAACAAAAGATAGTACTCGTAACAAAAGACCAAGCTGCTGGGATTTGCCATCATTCTTCAGTTGGTATTAGTGGACAGGTGGAGGTATACTGTTCTGAAACAGTATACTACTGTTTGTGGCACTCAGTGCCAGCGGATTGTCAGTGGGGACAAAAGTGCTCCATTGATGAGTGATACAGTACCACTGCTTGCTAATCCGGCTGCATTTGAAAAGACGCCTCTAGGGTAACGCACTGGGCTAATTTCGTGAACAAACAAAATTATGCAACCTGCACAATCTGGGCTCTCTTTACTAGGCGGCAGGCCTGGCTTAAAAAATCAGGCTAAAAATGGAGGTTGCCTGTCAGATTAGACTAGCCACTACACAGTCATTTGTGTGGGTGTAAACGTCTATTAAATGAAGTTATGAATTTGTGAAGAATTTTAAAAACTGAAAATCTTGAAAATCGGATGTGCCTGATACATCTACTGGTCTATGGGAATTCCTATAGTGTGCATACAGGAAAAGGGTAACTATATTGGTTATCATACGAGTGTGAGCGGAACACAGAATAATGTAGTATGTCTATGTCCGATGTGCTACGAGGCTGAAGGCCGAGTGTTATGTTGGACACAAACGTCTACATGTACATTATTCTGTGTTCCACGAGTGCGAGCGTGATAACGAATTTTTCTTCAAGCAAACTTGAGGCACAGTAAAGATGTTATAGGGACCTATGCGTGCAAACACCCCACCCTTGAAATGACAGTAAAGTTTGAAGGTGTGCATTTTGCTTTTAGTGTAAAAATAGCACATTGTGTGGAGTTAGAACATTGCATTATGCTGGACTTGACATGGACAATGCAACACAGTTATAGGTCATACTGTTTGTTGCCATTTATCGACCAATCAGAATTAAGAATTCAAGTTTGCCTGAAGATAAATCCACACATTTTGGGGTACATGTACATGTAATACTGTAAGTACATGTACAACGACCTTCTAAAAATCTTTTCTTCCTAATTTTCATGAGAAACAGGTTTGGAATAAATCTCTTTTGGGGGAGGTGTGGTTCTTAAAAGAACCATTGAGTGTTAACTCAACATTTGGCTAGTGTGCTCTGACAGTCCTCAGGAGAGTGTGCCAGACTGGAGTGGATAGCTGGGTTAGGTGATCCGGAAGCAGTGAAGTGTGGAACGGGATTCGCGGGTTGTGTAACGTGGTGGCTGGCATGAGTTTTGGGTATAGGGGACCCTACTGCCCGGGAGTGGGGGTCCGCTTGGGTGCTAGTAGTGGGCGCCAGATGTTGCTGAGCTTGAAACCGATGTCTTGGGGTGTGGTGTTGTGCCGGAAAATCTTGATGGCTTCTCTGATTCTTCTTGGGAGCCAGTTCTAGATGGGGGCAATGAGTTCTGCTTTGTCCCATTAATGACGTGGTCCGTGGAGTGTACATGCTTGACCATGGCCGACTTGTCGTATTCTCCTCGTCGGCCATGCACATGGTGCTCTTGGAGTCTGGTGGGGAAGTTACTGCTGGTTTCTCCAACGTATACTTGGCTGCATTCACATGGAATGCGATACACATGTACACTGGGGCGACTGCTGGGTGGGTGGTTGTCCTTATGGGTGTGAAGTGCAGCCTGCAGCTTGTTGGGTGCTTAATGATAGACTTTGATGTTAGCTGACTGCAGGATTCTGCTGAGCTGGTGGGAAGTGGCCAGGGCCCAGTACGGTAGACATACTGTGGCAGTAAGGGGTTGGGGGCTTCAGGTATAGGTGACCCTTATGCTGTGGGGGAGGAGGGGACTTCGGGTATAGGAGACCCTAGCGTCCTGGGAGAGGGCTTGGAAAGGTCGATAGTCCAGCTATTCACTCCAGTCCGGCTCCTGAGGATGACCAGAGCACACTGGCCGAAACGTTGAGTTAACACTCACCGCCCTAAAGAGATTTATTCCATGGTGTACCCGTAAACCTATTTCTCGTTTCTCTTCCACCATGCAAAGCTTCAAATATTACTTCCTAATTTTCATTAAAAGAATAACAAATATTAAACAAAGCTGCTTGGAAATGCTACTTGAAAAGAATCAAGAGAAAAGACAAATCCACCAGGCTTTTATACAAATTCTGGGGTGAAAGAGTTAAACTACATGTAACTCCCTTACCCAATGCACAAGCCATAGCACATCCTGTCATGCCACCTCCAATTATGACAATATCATAAAATGGTACTCTGGGCTCATTATTTGATCTCTCTCCGAGCTCACTTCTTCCATCTCCCCTTTCTGATGTGCTTATGTCTTCACTGTCACCATGACTACAAAGATTCCTCCTGGAAGGCACATGTAGGGTTGACTTGGAGAATAATGTCTGTGTGGCTAAGTACAAGAAGTTGGAGTGAAGCTTGGTCGCACCTTGCTTAGAGCACTGTCCAAAAGCAGAAAGAGCCAAACAAAATACATCATTTCTTTCACAAATAATTTTAATGCTTATACATACGTAAATATAGCAGTAGGACTTTCCTTTGTATACATGAACATGTAACCACACTACCACTACATGCATGCATTATGTCACAAGGCAAACACCAGCCCACATCCAGCCTCTCACGCCCATTATTTGGAATGTTCACCAATAAACAGTATGTCCATGTACTATGTAGTATACATGTATGCATATGTAGAGGCATGTGAAATTGTGAGTCTCATGAGGCTGTTTGGTATTTCAAATCAGCATGGTCATTCAAAAATAAAGCAGCTATGAGTTGGTGTACGGAACCCCTCAACATGAACAGGCTATTGCATAGCACTTTAAATCTTTCCTGACTTCAAAACCCTTTTTTGAAGAAAGGAATCATCTGAAAGCGAAAAAATAAACAGATCATACAGCAAGGTTTACTGATCATGCAAAAATCAAGCCATCACACTGATCAACCTACATGTACATGTATATCACACCCAACATCCATGTACATAGTATACGTACATGTACATACACTTCCTATCACAGACAACTGAACACTACATAACTTTCACCTTGCGTGCCTAATTTCTCAGCTCCAAAAATCAAATGAAAACAAGTTGTAAACTGGCATGTGCCTGTTGAAACTTGAGCGAGTATCAAGTGTGAAACTTGATGAGTATCAGGTTTGGGATTATGGGGTTAACACATGTCAATTCTGTTGTTGTCATTTTTTGTCATCATTTTTGTATTCTTTTGAGTTGGGTGCATGGTAAATTACACAGTTCAAGATTTAATAAACATTTCCTGAGGCGCAAATGAATGAGTGATATGACCAACTTAAAGTCTAAAATTCACAAAACAGGGGTGCTTTTGTGCTTGTAGGTTTTGCTGAAGTTGACCACTCTGTTGCCTGATCAGGGATTCAAGCCAAATCATTTATTTTGCAGTAACTTCAGCAGTACTGAGTCAACTTCAATTGCTTACCCAACTGGACTCGAGCCGAGTCACTAAAATTGCAACTCACATCTGATGCAAGTTGAGTCACTGACTCAAGTCATTACAACTCTGGTTGGGATGGTCCCAAATAACGTTGTAGGGGGCCTACATGTACATGTACTTGTAACGATTCCCAGTCCTAACATCATATGTGCCCAAATATTAGGAAAGGTACTGTAATTGTCACGTTTGTAGGAATCCTATACATGTAGTTACGGCCTAATAACTGAGTAGTACTAGAAGTAGAAGCCTAGTGCTAGTTACAGTGGAACACTGTTCATGGAGGTAGAGTGCACTGTTATAACAAGGTCCTTGGGACTTCACAAATTACCTTGTTATAATACATGTAGTTACCTTGTATTATCAGTCATGGAAACAAAGAAAAAACAAAGACTTGGGAGCTAAAACTATCCTTGTTATAAATGTGACTTTGTATTAACAGTGCTCTTCTTATGTGTGTTTGACTTTACATGTATTTAGGCCACCTATTACGCCCCAACTATAGCGTCTGTCCCAACTCACCACTTCTTTTAAAAACCACACGTCTTCAAAAAAAGATTGATTCCATGGTGTACCCACGAGCCCACATCTAATTCAACTGCCACCATGCAAAGCTTCAAATCAAGCTATGACTTAATTTACATGTACATGTATGTACAGTGGGCACAGTTTGTTTGTCCCTTTTGCACTCCATCGGCTGTGTACCCTGAATTATGAATGCCAAACAGTTTTTGGTTACTTATTCAACATTCACATATCAAAAATTTACTTGTTCAACATGGAATGTCTCTTGTCAAACATGGAGCGAAGAACTTCAAACCGCCATGCTTTCATACTAGCTCCATGCATCGTATTCGTAACAAACAGCTAGGCCTACTTGGGTGAAAGTCAGACCTGTCGGACCTTGCCAGATTCTCCACCGAAAAATGCCTTTTGACGGTAAAACGAATGAACACTGATACGACTGACAAACACGATCAGGTAACGATGGACAAATCTAGGAATTCACGAATTAAATAGTGAAGAGCTCACCGTGCACAATGACAGCAACGTAGTCCCACTTCCACCTCTTCCATGTCTTACTCTCAAAACGGCATTTAAAAATACTCCAGTACGCGATATACGTCTAGCATATCTACTTGCATGATGACTGGCGGCAAAAGCTAGCTGCATGACTTAGAAATGTGATGTGATACTTCAAATAACTGCGCAAAAACAACGAATATCACGAGACGGGCAAAGGATCTTGTTTATAAACTGAGACATGTTACTGTTAAGTCACCCCTATAGTCGGGTCATGGTCGGGTCAAACAATCAAGTTAATTACCGTCACTGCGTCAGTTAAAAATTACCACCTCCTCCATATGATTTATTCCTGGGATAATGGAAATAAATTCAGACATTCGATCACAGTTAACTTGAAACATAGTTTGTCGCCTACTCTATAAAATAATAAGGCGAGATCAATCTGCATTTTACTATCTCATTTAATAAATTACAACATTTTTTACCGTAACAGTGTTAAACCGGTTTAGGTTTTTGACCTTTGACCTTTCTCTGTGAATCGGGGTAAAATGGCGAGCGAGGAGAGGGAGTCACGCGCCGTTCTGGGATTATTAAATGGTCTCGCTAAACGCGAATATTTTGGCAAAGATGAATTCAGTGATGAATTTTTGAAGGCAGAATTGATGGAGAGTGCATCTGACGAAGATTTTTCTGCCTTGCTGTCAAGATGCAAGAGTCTGTTAAAGGTAGAAATGTGTCCCCGGCGCCCTTCATCATATTATGCGGGCCTGCTGTGGTAGTGCCTGCATGCTTATGTCATGATACGGCATGTACGGGACTACGGGGCTCAGAAGCGTCGACTGTTTGCCTACTCGACTCAGCAACTCGACCGTTGAAACAACTCGGCCGCCTGTGCCTTAAACATTTTTAGGCCTGAATGGACAGGCATGATTATGACAAACATTACAATGACAAACATTGATACAGTCACATTGCCTACACCTTTTCTTCAAGTTAGAAAAAGAGAAGACGGGGGACAACTTCCCCACACCGGCAGACTAGCATGAGCAACTATAATCATCGGTGCTGCTGAGGCACCTGTGCACCGTACCATCATGCATGCCATATTGCGATCGATCGCCGTTTTGGCCACGCACCATGCTGGTTACATGTAGGTCGTGCCATCCGCTAGTCTTGTGCATGCTGCACCAGGTCCCTGTGCATACCATGCTCGATGAGTCAAGTCACAACATGACGTGACACATGCAAATTTACCCACACAAATAATCTGCAATCTATGTTACATGTAAATGCCTGATCAACTCTGTCATGTACAGTACACGCCTTGAATGGTTGAGTTGTCTTAAAAGACGACTCATTAAATGGTCAAGTTGTCCCGCCGTTCAAGTTGTCTCAACGGTCGAGTTGACAAACAGTCAAGTTGTCCGACATCCAATGATACTAGCCTATACAGTATCAGTGTGTCAGTGTTAGTTACTTTTGTTACTGGTGTAACTTGGACAAATTTAAAATTTGTGCTGACAGGGTTGAGCGTAACCCTAGAACTAGTCTCTGGGGTTCGTTTTCTGCCTTGTCATCATGGGAGCATGGCAGATGATGAACCCCAGAGTTCTTGGGGTAGATTGAGCCCAACTTTGAAAGTATGCAACTTTTCCATCACACAGCCAGTATAGGCCAAATTATTTATTTTACAGTAGTGGTCCACATTAGAACTCGGAGACTATCCCAAAACTCTGAGAAGTCCCTTTATTCAGGGACAAAATCAGTCCCCTAAACGAGAGAAAGTCTTCCAAAATAGGGACTCTTTTCGAGTGGGTTTGGGAATATTACCATTGCCTGGGGGATTCTTTTATTACGATAATTAGATTCAGCAGAAGGAAGTACCCAAGGCTACATGGTGCCAGTACTGGTACAGCATACAGCATTTGTTGATGTACATATACCATAAATGTGTACAGGCATTACATGCCATCACACATTTTCCCATGTAAAAATGTGCTGTACATCTTTATGTGCAGCATGAAACCTTCATGTACATGTACACTGTATATGTAAATGTACCATACATGTACATATATACACTGCACAGTGTAATGTGAATCTTGCTTGTTCAACATACATGTATGTTGTGAATTTTTTCCTTATTGCACCATTACTACAGAATATAGTGTCTGGTAACATGGACGTGAATCAGCTGGATGCTTTCTTGACATCCCAGACCAAGAAGAAAGGAGGTATCAATTCAGCTCAGGCAGCAGCATTCGGTAAATTCTGGAGGAATAACAAGGCTAAAATTCATGATAGCATTGTTGCTAAGGTAAGTTTGTGACATAGAATCCTTGCACAAATTCCTTTCCTGAAACACCCTTTTTAATCTTGTTCACATGACCACTGTAAACTACCCTTTTCCTGATATATATGTACATGTACCAGTACTTCTTGATCTTTCCTGTGAATTCTAGAGCTTTTTCAAAATGAGTGGTTTAGCTTAGACATCAGTTTCGCTGGTTCCAGTCAAAGCTTGAACATGTGGTTTCGAACGCTGCTTCAAAATGGTTGGAACTAGCAAAACCAAAGTCTAAGCCGAATCCACTCGTTGAGAAAATGCTCTTAGACCAAGCAGAAATACTATTGAAAGCTTACAATGTGGTAGGCATTTCTACTAATTCCCAGTCTTTTGAACTGTAATTTACCATGGAAGATACTAGAGCTGCATAAACAAAATGTTTACAACACAATTCAGTCGATTTTGGTTATATTTACAATACTCTGAAATCTTTTCTACCTGTGAATTTTAATCACAATAACTAAATAAACCTTGCAATCGAATGTTAACAGTGCATCAGTGTCATTGCCAACACAGAAAATGTTTTCAATAAAATATTTAATTTCCAGAATAACAACCAAAAGGTACACAGGTACATGTAATTCCATCTGCACTCTTTGTTCCATGGAAACAACTTACAGTGTACACATAAATGTTTCTACACTGAGGATATGATTTCATTTTTTCCCCAAGAATGTGGGCCGGTATGGTGCAGTTAATTGACACCGCATTCAGTATGGCCAGGGTTAATGCTAAAACAGCCTTTGCCCATTACTCTCTCCAGTTATTCTGCATTCATTTTTAACAGTTTGAAGTTTTGTCCTTTAGAGTATGTGGGGCAACAGTCTAAGGAGCATGAGTTGGAGGATTGACATCAAAAGTCAAAGCAAGTGCATTGATCAAATCAACATGCCCACAGCCATTGTAGAGCTCCAACTTGCTGAAAATAACTCTGATAAGGTATTTTGTCACTGTTCTTTCTTAATCTGTCAATCATGACAATTTCATTCTGAGAAAACCCTTGTGAATGCATCTACCTTAAAAATGATTGTACATTTATGTACACGTATTGTGTTTGACCTTGTCAGGAAGTAGAGTTGGTACGATTTGAGATGGATGAGGAGAAATTGGCCAAGATCACCAAGGATCTGGATATTATGGAAGCACAAATTGCTGCCCACTGCCACTGAACATTATCAGCCCTACACATTGTGTACATATGCCGTAGTAGGTATCCCTTTCTCATTCTAAGTGTCACACCTGTCAAGCTGAGGTGTCTAAACAAGCTCATTATGAAGTGAAGTTATGCATTTGTATTCATACCTGCCCGTAATTAATCACAGTGGCCCGCGGCAATTTGATGCCCGACAAGCGATAATGTGTACAACTCTGACATTTCTTTTTGACTAATGTTTGCATACTTCCAAGTGCAAATATAATTAGAGTGAGCTAAGTGTTTCCACCTCCAAGAAGCCAAACATACATGTCCTACCATGACTACAGATGCTAGACAGTCAGTGGACTCTAATGTTTTGACTTGTGGCTTTTGTATCAAATGGACACGGCTGGACGATAGAAGAGTGTGAAGTTTCCTGTCAGCTGAATTGGATTATAGATCAGCAATTACATGCAATCGTCAGTACAGATGCAAACTCCAAGTATTTATGTCGTATTATTAAAAATTAACAATTTGTATGGACCAGCGATGGTTTGTGTAAATATTTGAGGCTGTATAATGGTCTTTTTTGTCAAGGGGTCAAGTGGGAAGCACACACAGTGGTACGCTGTGAAGAAGTTGCATTGTAAACTAAATGACACAGAGTTATGGTTTTCATTATGAGTCTTTAAAACATGGTCACTACTTGTGGAAAAAAAGCTACACATTTATGTTTCTCACTGTTTTCCTCTTAGACAAAAGCATGTGGTTAGAAACCCATCATTTTGAGAAAACAATGGACCAAAAATATTTAGATTTTAGTGTTATGAAATGAGTTATGTATGTTCAAGTAATGAATTCTTCTAGCTAAACAGACTCAAAAGTCAGTATTGATTGGTTTGTTACAGAAAGTTCTGTCCATTTGCTGGCATGATTGATTATCACACTGGAACTTGTGTCCCAGTTCGTTACATGTGGAACTACAATGTAAATTGTGTCATTTTCAATAAGCGGGGAAAAAGTCAAACAACAAATTCCACAGTTTTTCCACCTGCGTAGTATTTTTAGTACTTTGCAAATTCAGCAAAAAATTTATTAACTAGGAAGTAGGCCTGGTAGTATTCATTCACATTTTTGCATTGTTACACGTGACATTTTTGGCTCATGTTAGAGTGCAAATTAATATCTGGCAAAACATTTTGCCTCAAGTGTTTCACCTTTGCTACCTGAAATATTTTACCTCTGCTACATTAAAAAGCATTGACATACATTAATCCTTTATATGTGAGAATTTATGTGTTATTGCATACAGATAAGATACCATAGAGCAGGTAAACAGTTTTCAAATTTCGGCCTGTACATGCATATCCCACTTCAAACCCCTTAAAAACCAAAGTACTCCTTCAGGTGTTACTAGCATTTCATAGTTACTTGGCATAGTACAGTCATACTTATTGTGCTTGTATTCAGATCTGCTTTTTAAGGAATCTAATTTCAGACAAAAATTAAAATTAATGCAGTGGGTAATTTTAATTCAACATATTATTTCCTTGGTAATGTACTTGCATGTATTTAAAAGAGAAGTGTTCCGCGCTAATGCTGTTGCACAAATTGTTCATTCGATAACACCAGCAACAGTGCGTTTATGTAAAATGATACATTTAAATGAGTGCACTGCTTATGAGATACAAAGCTGTCATATTTATGCATACATGTATGTAATACGATGAATTTTGTGCCCCCCGTGTTTTGAATCCTAACTCCCCCAGAATTAGGTCATACAATTTCTTAGAAATGAGTGGGCAGGTTGGTAGCAGAACTTGCAACCAACAACAAGAGGCCTTGAGCGGATTAACTTAGTAGCCAGTGACCTTCCACTTCACTTGACTACTGGACTGAACAGAGACTCTGTTGTATTGTCTCTCTGTAGTTTCTCATTCAATCGAACCTGCCATCCTTACAAATTAGTCCCTGTCCCGCTGTTGGTGAGTTTGGTAATATCTTTGTCTTAAATGTACTTTTATGCTGAGATTAAAGGTTTAGTCCTATCTCAAAAGTTTAGAAAGAGTCGTCACCGGTCAATATCATGATATTACATTTCTTGTATGCAATTGCAGTCGTAATTTTAACTGAGAATGTTGTCAAAGAGTTAAAGAATTTGTGCACATCTTAACTTAAGCCAAAGTCCTTTTCAGAAGTTCTATCTATATTGACATCCGTTTAAGATTGTGTTGTTTCCAGATCCAACATTTCTTTTATGATATGTTCCATGATTTTGTTCAAACACTCTGATTTCATGCTGAGAACTGAATAAATTGAACTTGCTGTATGAGTTTTGATTGATTTGAAAGTTTACCATTTCTGTTTAAAAGACTTCTGTTAACGTGTAAATAAAATTTAGTTTAGACAGGACAGGCTCATGGAATTACTTTTATAACATATTTCTGAAGTTTTCGTTATATAGTACTTCAAGCATACATTGAATAATGTTCTCTTGACCAAAGTGAAGAAAGGGATTGTGTTTGTTTATGTTGTATAGCGTGCGTAAACTTTTCACTATTTTAGTTGGAAACGAATTGATTCCCACAGGTTGGCTGACAATAACAAGTGTAATGTCGAGGAAAGCGTAAATGCAATGGGCGCCACCGCGCGTTGGAAACCAGAAGCTGTGTCAGTGCGTGATCCTTCATGTCAAGCTGCTCGCTCGTGGATCGTAAATTTATACCTTCCAAATAATGGCCAGATAAAGAGGACGGTAGGAAATCGCTTCTCTTCCACTTGCTTAATCTTTGAATTAATAGAGTGATTTAGATAATTAGATAAACGATCCTTATAATAAGTATTTAGTTAGACGCCAAAATCTTCCCCAGAGTCTCTGAAAATGCCGAATCTGCAGGTTTCGGAAACATGCAATTTGGTGACCAAACGTAAATGCGCTCTTTTCCTAGATTTTCTCTTGCTGGTTTATGTAAATACTTGATTACTTGTTTTTGTATCAACATTTTCCATTAGAAAGGGCTTCTTTGTACCGAGCTCACCCAATGGCTCACCCAATGACACGACTAAGGGCTTGTACAAACTACAAGGCCAAGAATAAATACACCCCCTTTGAAAACCATGGCATGCCCAGTGTCTCCACCGGAAATTTTTCTTTGGTAATCCCCTAGGCCCTGCCGCTCCACAACAATTTATGGTGACCCAGACGTTGGCCAGTATGCAGCTCAGCATCAATCTAGCCAGCAGCTCGACAATATTGGTTATCATGGAGTTTGAACTAAACATCACACGCCAAATTCTGCGTTCACATGCAGCGGAATAAACTGCTGGACAACAACCCAATGCGCCTATAGCACCGTCGGTTGAATAACGCAGTGTCTAGCAGTCATTGCACAGTGGAGGCAGTAGCCGTTCAGTGTCATCTCGGAAATCACAGACTAGTCTACATCTGCAACAGCAGGAACTGGCCTTCGCTAAGCTACGCATTGAGATGGAGATGAAGTCAAGAGCAGAGCAAGATGCCATTGATATGTGAGGTTCAGCAAGCTCGCCTTTTGGCCCTGAATGAGGAGCAGCATTTTCTTAAGAGAAAGGAGCCCGAGGCTTCTCCTGGCAGTTAGAGCTAGAGCTGCAACTGAAAAATTCTGAGATCAACCTCGCACATGCCGATATGTACTCATAACTTATTTCTAAGGACATTTCAGGGGACAGAATCCCTCACCACCTGAAAGGTCAAGAACTGTTAACCAAATGCCTCAGCAGCCAGCTATGTGAGCCACAAGTGTAAGCTATGATTTACCTGAGAACCGCAGTTCGCAGTCATATTTACCTGTGGTACAGCCAGTCATTACCATGCCTCAAGTAAGCGCCGCTTTGCCTCCACCCATGACGGCATTGCCTCTGCCAGTGATTTTCTCGCCTCAAGCGAAATCTGCATTGCCTCAGCCCATGACAGCATCGCCACAGCCAGCGATTAGCATGCCTCAAGCCAGCGCTGTGTTGCCGCAGCCTGTCACTAACTGCCTTGCCATGCACAACCAGCCATTGCTGTGCCTCAAGCAAGTGCTGCTTTGCCTCAGTCCATTACGGTATTGCCTCAAACACACACTGCCATTCCTCAATTGAGGACCCTAATGTAGCGGTCCGGCCCCGGCTGATCGCTCGGGGGTGGCGGTCCGTCCGCCTCTGAAGGGGGAATTGGAGGCCAGGCAAAACAAAAAGCTCAGCAGGCAAAAGACTTGGGTACTTCAAACGGGCTGGATTCGTTTTATTTCGCCGTCACTAAATAATGAAAACTGCTTGGACAATTATATGTGTAAGATGCTACAATCTATGTAATTCCCGGCGGAGTCATCACCGCGTCCACCCTCCCAGTTGTCTAGCACCACATAGCACTCTCGAAAAAACCTCGGAAGCCCGGCTAACTATTTCAGTCCCGCAAAAAGTATAACATTGTAGGCCACATCCGGCCGACAGGAGTGACTTATAGAAAATACATGTACATTCTAAAGTGCACGTGGGCCCAATCACACCTTGAAGACGTGCACAAGGTTCAAAGGTCACATAATTCGCGGATTTAACTGGGGAATTCCCAGATCCCTACACTAACTAAGTGTGTGACTTCCTTTTTACCCATGTATGTGTACTCGGGACCTACCTCTCTTCCCAGATCTGTTTCATGGCCCACTCCAGGTACATCTGCAGCCTCCACATTGGCTGCAAGTCAGGCCTTGCCCTCACTCCATGTAGATGCAATACAGGGGCAGACGTCCACCTCCCTGTTGGACATTTTTGGTCATCATCCTGCGAGTCTCCAAGCCTTCTCTGTTGGGCACCAAGACCACACCGACAACTTCCCTTATTACGCCCCTACCATGTGCATCGATGCCTGTGAGAATCCTGCCAACATCTTCGGCTGGTCTCTCTAGTGGCCAATGTGTCGAATTCTATTTCCACTGGTAAGTCATTTCCTTAAACTTTTTTTCCATCCAATTTCCCAGTAAATGATGCTGAGTTCAATGTTAGCAGCCTCTGCCGGAAGGATCAATGTCGAAGTTCCCCACATTAAAATAAAGGGGGGGGGGCAATCCTGAATACCGATGCTTTGAAACCGTGATCAATGGCTGTATTACACCCGATTCACTTGGGTGAGATACAAAAATACTTCATAGTGAAGTTCAAGCTTTTGGCCAGTCAAAAAAAGATTTTATGGGACTGGAACATCACCCGGCTCCCTTCACGAAAGCCATGTCGACACTGCAGTGACTGTATGGGGACATAGGCATGCTCATTAGGGCAAAGATTGACTAACTTAAAGTGTAACCGAGAATTGGGGCAAATGACGCTAAGGGTTTAGTTGAATTTGCCTCTGCAGTCTCTGCCCTTGTCATCCAGCTTGAATGTGTTCCCGAGGGAGAGGCAGAGCTACGAGCAAACTCCGCTGGGTGTGTCTTGTATGGCCGTCCATCAAGTCAGCACCAAACGGCATTTTTGAAGCAAATGGAAATCAAAGGTATCCGTTCCTTTTCCTTGGTCAACTGTCACCGCTGGTTGAAAGAAACTGCAACTGTTATACGCAAAAGGTGCAACTTGAAGACAGCCTGTGGGCTTGCCCCCGGGCAAGCATGATCATCGTCAACGAGGCACACTTGCATATCATACTGAGGGTGGAGGTAAGAGTCAGAGTCAGTTAGTGGGAAATATTTGTGGTAACCGAAATGCCTCAGTTAACAGATCAGCAGGCAGTGGAAAAAAAACATTTACGAAGTCTTGTCTGCTCTGCAAAAATTACCACTGGCTGTCACGCTGCAATGAGTTTGGCAAACTTACCACAGAGGAGAAAATTAAGTAGATCAAAGATGGTTGTCGTTGCTTGCAGTGTGCACGTCTGCACAAAGAAGGGAAGAACTGTGACCTGAAAAAGGCACGCAGAGTGTGCGATCAACTCAATCTGACCATCTTTCACAACCTCATCAAGCAGCCAGGCCATGGGGCCTATTACTAGTTTCAATCTCAATCTTTCTGCTTTCTATGGGGATGGGAATCCATGGCACCCCAACGATGTGAGCATGAAGATTGTACCTATTATTCTACACGGCAATGCATCTCACCTTCAGACTCACTGTCTCCTAGATGATGCAGCAAACTTCTCAATCTTGTCAGAAGCAGTGAAGGCCCTCATTCTCAAAGGATGGAGGAATGAGACGCCTACTGCGACAGCTCGAGAATAATGTACCCCCTGCAGAGGAACCATACTGAAACTTGAGACAGCTCTGCAGAGTGACCCAAGCAAAAGTGTCCCAGGTCTTCACGTCCCAGATGCTTAGGCTGTCTCAGCATTCGGTGCTCGTCACAGATCTTCAGAGAAAGTGGCCCCATCTCAGGGATCTTCTACTGACTGATTGTAAAGATTCTCACATTCTCATGTTAATCAGAAGCATCAGGGCAGACCTAATTGTCACAATCGAGAGCAACTTTGACGCAGAGGGAGCACCGGTTGCCGTTCAAACCAAATTAGGTTGGGCAGTGCAGCGTCCAGCGCTCACCCGCCGACGTAACGGGGAGGTGAATCACCTACATGGGCGGAAGCAGGTCATGAGATCCAAACAGGATCAAAGAGCAATAGATCTCTTAACATCCAAGTCCGCATACGTGGAGGTTGAAGGTGTTCAACGCGTGGCAACACCACTACTATGGAGGTGTGGCGAAGACACACTCTCCAGTCTGGCTTCCTCGATTCTGCCATCTCTTCGAAGAAATGAACAGTGCCTCAAAAAGAACCCTGATCTTGCCGCGATTAATCGAAGGAAAATCCCCGCATTGAGAGAGGGCCAACTTGTTCGCACTATGGCTACTGAAAAAAGGTAAACTCCACCCAGCGCCAGTGGTATATCCATTATCATGTTGTTAAACAAAATGGCAAATACTGCCTGGTGTTTAACAGCGCTTTCTGATATCAGGGCGAATACCTAAATGATCATCTGCTCCCCGGTCCCAGCCTTGGCTCCACCTTGGTTCGAGTATTGTTGAGGTTCCGTCGACACCTTGTTGCTGTCTCTGGAGACATAAAGGCTATGTTCCACTGTGTCCTCACCCTCGATGAGGACCACTCAGTGCTTCGCTTTCTATGGAGGGAGCTTGGATTCTAGGCTGAACCAACTGAGTTGAAGTGGAATATGTTGCCCTTAGGGACAACCTGCAGCCCTTGCTGTGCCACTTACGCTCTCCAGAAGCATGTTAATGATAACATCAAAGAACCAATGTAATCAGGAGCGTACTTGAAGCATTTTACGTTGACAACTGCCTTGATGGAAAGCCAACAGCCGAAGAAGCCAAGAAATTGTTTTAGAAGTT